ACTAAGGAGAACTTCATTCAGATGATCTACTTATTCGAAGATTCAATTTTGGTCCGCACACCAAAGCAGCGAGTATTTGATAGGAATCAAGAAGATTTTTTCGCAAAATATTAGAGCAAACGAATAGTTTATTGAAAGAAAATTAAATGAATCAACACGAATATATAAGATAACCACCAACAATTCGAAAGGTTTGTGATCTCTCCCAAATCATATAATTCAAGAAGTAAGAAATTTCTCCCAAACCCAACTCTTAAGACTCGAGACAGTAATCTCATGCATAACCCTAAAACTAAACATATTAGCCTTCTTTATACTAAACAATAATAAAAGATAAATGACAAATGATTAATTAATTTCCCTAAGATTAATAAAGAATAAATTGCCCTTGGACTAATAAAAATTAAATTGCCCATAGGCGCCATAAAAACAATACTCTCCTTCCAAAAAGACACTTGCGGAAAAAACTATTGCTAGATCAGGTCTGACAATACTTTCCAAATCAAAGCAGCGAGTATTTGATAGGCATCATAATCTGACAATACTTTCCATTTAATCAGAAACTTGTAGTGACCCTCATTATCATCTAATAATCATTTTCAGTCTCTTCTTCCTCCAGAGAACCCATACAAATGGCTTATAATTTAGGATAGGTGGGTTCCTTCTAAGTTCATTATTTCAAAGACACTTTTGAAGATTATATTGACAAATCTCCCGATTCCAATTAATATGTAATCAATCTGGTAATTGGCAATTAAAATTGAAACCACGGTGATATTATTGTATGAATTTCCATTTAGTGACTTGTTGACTTCAAAGAGTAATGAGGGTGACTTTGGCAAGCTAGAAATCACATTGTGGCCGTTGAGGCCACCTCTCTAAATATAAGTTTCTCGAGACTAGCTTGATGACCAATTTCCCTAATCCTTAAAATTGCATGCATGACCCCACCTATGCGGATTACCTAAGCAGGATTGGGTACACTTTGTCTTCTCCATTAGCTCTTTACTAGGCCTTCGGCTCAAGTCAACAAAGATGAATTCTTTTAACTTTTTTACCTTGATCTATTCTTTAACAAGGATCCTAAGGTGGCAACAACCCTCCATATCACAATTATGATCTCTATGGAAAGCACAATGCTTGGTCATGTCTATGGGTGCTGGGCATCTGAAGTAAACTTTACTTTGAATGGCTTCAAAAAGCTCATGCACTGATGCTCATAGCAAAGTGGTGGTAGAAAATTGATGAGTAGGTGGTAGTAAAGGTGATTTCCCCCTTTCTTCATCGCACCAATCATGTTAGCTCTACCATTGTTGGTGATGAGGTTGCAAGGGGCGATAAGCTATTGTTCAGGGGCAAGATCAATTAGGCTCCCCTGAACTAGAAAACTTGGGTCGACTATGTTATTCACTTGAAAATTACCTCATGTTCTCTACTAGGTCAAGTCCTCTCTGCGGACTTGAAAGCAATATTTGATTCTGATTATTTTATTCTTCAATGTCTGCGCAATTATTAGCACATAGAAGTGATTTGGCCAATATTCTTAGTGGTTGCAAGCCAAGCATAGTGAGAAAAGACCATTCATATAAACTGTGAGTTAGAGTGGGTTGAGCCACAATCAATTCTAGATTTTTTACTTCCAGCATCTCTCTTTAAATGCTCATAAGAAAATTACTAACTAACTAGCCAGGCTACTATTATATCTTTAGTAAAGCCTACAAATTTTTTTAGAAGTGTTATGCACAAACAAAATAAGTAATAAACATTCTCTTAAACTCAACGAACAATATAATCACTCTGAGTAGTAGACAAGAAAATCACTTAAATAATGACTCTTTGAAGGTACTTTATGGTGTCTTTAATTTCAAGCAATGATATGATGGATTTGAAACTTGGTCAACCAAGTTGGTTCAACCTCTATAGGAGTCTAAGTAAGGACATCAAAATTTCCACGTAACATAGCTACAACAATCTCCCCCGATAAACAGCATTTGTAAATAGAGGACGATTTGCCCTAATGGCAGGCAAGGTTAAAGGTACGACTCCACATCTTTGGAATCTGGATAGTATGATTTATCAAAGTACAATAGAGCTCTCACCCTAGAGTTTTTCCTTCTATCCATCAAGTTGGTAGATTCTTTAGGCAACTGCACTATGGGTGCAACTCTTTGAATCTGGTCCAGAATCCCTTTAATTATTTTGTCAAGCATTTATTATATTTCTAATAGCTTTCTTGTGATGACAAATTCTTGGTTTCCATATTCAATTTTCTCTACCAAGAGTTTCTCTATTAGCACTTTCTATAGATCTATGTGCATGTCTTCTAGTTTGTGGTATAAATCCACGCTCACTGCAACTTTTAGAAGCTGAAATTTGATTTGTCTATTCATGATTTATGCTAAAACCCTACATAAAATAGATGGGGAAAGAAAAGAAATGAGCTAAGAAGAAAACTATAATAGGAAAGAGAAATTTACTATCAAGCTCAATACAACAACAACAACAAAGTCTTAATCCCACTACGTGGGGTCGGCTACATGAATCCTGTTTCTCCATGGCGTCCTATTTAGTGTCATGCTCAATGAATAGAAATTTTAGGCTAGAGTGCATAAGCCTATGTAACCTTGACTCCCCACACGACTAGTCAAAAGCGAAGACGAAAGTTTTTAATGCTACAAAAAAATGCTACATAATGAGCTTTTATATATAAAGAAATATAAAATAAAGTACCTAAGGCCCATAACCTAACTGAGAACTTGGAATAAAGCTAGTAATCGATCCTGATGAGAGAGTTGAAAGTTCTTTTGATGGAGGTCACCTAGTAGCGTTCTGGACTCAAGCAACTCTCAGAGTTGAGGCAACCTAGCAAATTCGTCATTGTGTTAGGCGAGTTTCTCATGTTCTTGGTGAATGATCCTCTCTAGTGCTTGGCTAGTAGATTTTCCTAGGTCCAAGAGGGCAAATCTTTTGTTAACCCACTGTGAGTTCCTCTCGAGCCTAGCTGGTAGGTATGTCATGAGCTTGTTTTGGTAAGTATCCGTTGAAGGCTGAGTCGGTCTGCATCAAACCCTACTTCAAGTTCTGCTGAGATTCATTCCGTGAATTCGTCTCAATCTCAACTAGCAAGCTCTTGCTAAATCTGGCTTGGAAAATTAACTCTCTCATGGTTAAAAATTTCAACATTTTGTGTGTAGTTAATTTAGTGAAACCAACAGCTATGCCCTTTTGGGTAATTCCTTCTATTTTTTTTCTTGCGTGAGGTGTCCGAAAACGCGGGCATCCACGATAAGTGATTTCAGTGCTTCAAACATAAAAGCATAGTATGTTTGCAAAATGAGCGACAATTGAGAGTTTTTCATGCAAGTAAAATATTTTGAACCCAATTTTAGTGATATGAAGTTCGTTAACAGTTATCTTTGTCTTGTTTAATTGTGGGTTTTGGAGAAAATGTAGAAATCAACAATCCCCATATTTATTGCATGCGAATATTTATTTTTAGTTTATGTTTCATATCAGCTAGTGTAGAACTAGCAAAAATATTTTTCCAAAATGATTGAGCATGTCCCACTAGTTTTAATTTAGCACAATCAGCTCTTCAAGCTTTAAAAATATTGTAACTTTCAAAAGTAAAATTGATTATTAATCCAATTTAAAAATTTTCTAAAAATATACCTCTTATCGAATATAGAAATATAATTTCAATTGAGTTATCTTAAATTATATTAAGCTAATATTTTGTTGATTGGCATAACTATTATGTCCTAGTTATCAAAAAGATGAACATTAAGATCTAATGTTTCCTGATGTATGTCCATGCTCTAATGAATAAAACTCACACCCATTGCATTAAAGAATTGGAATTTATAGACCAATAATTAAAACAGACATTCATCTCTTCTACTGAAAACCCATAATAAAAAAAATCTACCCCCAATGATATAATTTAATGATATGCCAAAATAAAATCACACAACAAACAGAAATCAAATTTGCATAACAGTAAGGGGCCATTTGATTGAAAGCGTTTAGAATTCAACTTTATTCAAAATGTAGTGCAAAATAAGCTCAATACATTTGAAATATTTTGTTTGATTTGATGTAAATGAATTTTAGGTTTTTCTCAGAATGTTTTAAAGTGAAAAGTTCTTAATTCTCATTAGACAGGAATTTGAGTAAATCGGTCAAGGGACTATTGGTTGTAGAGGGGGACTCGAAAGAGCAGACAAAGGTTTCAAGTGGGTCACAGAAAAAGGTGGGATTGCAGCAGGGTTGTTACATAGGTTGCAACCAAATTTTCTTCTCAAGACAGACAAAGGCAAAAGTGAGCATTGTGGATTCACGTATATCACAATACAGGTCAAAGGCCACAATGGAGGTCACAAACAGAACAATACTTTGCCTCACAATGTGTTCCAAATTTGTTGGATTCATGAAAATAAAAAATAAGCTAAAAATGACTTAATTTTCGAGTTTAAACTCTTCAATAATTGCTTTAAATTTACTTAACTCTCAACCAAAACACTATGAATCATGAAAATCCTGCATTTAAAATTCAATGCACTTAAAACTCTCTCAAGCATCCCCCAAACAAAGAACTAAATGAACAATAATCTAAGAAAATCAAGAAAAAAATATTATTATGGTTTCTCCTATTCAAATTCAAATAATATAAAATTCCTAATAATAGAATATCTTAAGAAAATTGAAAATCTTTTATATGAGCAACACAAGGTGATCTAGTTGATGTCAGAACTTGAATAGCATATACTCAAGAGTGCAAGAAATAAAATTAGCACAATGGCGATTGCTTACATTGATTCATCAGTAAATTTGCATATTGGTGTTTTGTGACTAGTAATGTATTGCATGTCAAAATATACATTGGAAGAAAGTTTTCATAAATAACACCGTTAAAGCAATTTATGAACGCCGATATTTGTAAAGAACTTCAGTTGTATCATGTGAATTATTAAACTTCATTTATCATGAAAGAACTATACCTCCCGGCCAACAAAGGGTGAAGTGTTGATAGAGAAAGACATTTTCACTGTTGGTTCCTCTACTTTGATGGTTGGTAGTGCTTTCCCAGAGCTTTTATCGGCTATTGTTTCTCCAATCTGCATAAATATGATAATGAAAATATGTTAGTCTACATTACGACACATGATTCCAAAGAAAATGCTCCAGATGCAGATGACAAAATAAAAATTCAGGTTAAATGTGGGTGCAGACCGCATACCACTACATCATTTATTCCACAAACAGCACAAATATCTCCAGCCTCCACATTCTCAGTTGGGACCCTGCTGAAGTTTTGATAAACAAAAAGTTCACTAACTTTTGCATTTCTACATGTTTCATCTGATGTGCAAACCTACAATAAAAAATTTCCATTAAACTAACTTACTACAAGAAAAGCAAATGGATCTACATTCCAGAAATATAACATGAAAAGTTGCCAACAAAGCAAAATCTTTATATTAAGATTTGAGCGTATTTTGAAAAGACAAAAACTCCAAAATTATAGACTATTTTGCTACATGCTACTACATTGTTTATATCCTTAAAAATTATAATTAAACTGCAATGATAAAACCAGTAAGGAGATCCAAACTGGCTAATGCAAAAAATAAAACCACTTGTTATCGTTGACAAAGGCGAACCCAAAAAGTTTCTCAAAATAACATTTTTTTATTATTACTTGAATTTATTATTATTATTATTATTATTATTATTATTATTATATACATAAATATGTATAATTTATGTATTTATAATATATGGGAATAAGTGTGCTTGAACTCCCTCATGCTTGTTATTATTTTTCATGTCAACAATCAAGAGGTACATGAGGAGATTTATTCAAACCATTTGGCACTTTGACGCAACAAGACAGTCTATTTGGAAAATTGAGCAAAAAATTTGTAATTTTTTGAGTTAATCTGCTAAGAAATTATGTATGCCTACCTTAGTTGTCAACAAATTTAACTAAATCAACATGTGAATCATATGTGAGTCAATATATGACCCCGAAGAAATATGGCTCAAGAATAAAGAGGACAATTTTTGTTATTGCCACAAATATATTGTGCATATTCATATAATGTCCTTTATTTTATTTACCTTTTGCAAAACAAAAAAAACTTAATTGGAGGAGAGATGTTAGAATATCACAAGATGAGCCCAACGAAGAAACTATTTGGTCGGTAATAGATAGTCAAGATCTACAAGAATTGTTGAGGTTGATGACATGTTGAGGGGCCATAATACAAGACAAACAATGAGGCTTTTTCTAAAATAAGTTTTAAAGGTTCATTACAAGAACAATTAATTGTAGGTTCTTTTTTATTTTGAGGGGCCATCATACACTATTTGGAGGGAAAAATTAAATCTAAAGGCTTATTTTTGGAGAAATAAGTTAGCTAAAATGAAGAGTCAAGAGAACTATATAAAAGTTTATTTGAATCCTTCAAATTGGAGAGTATTACGTGTTTTTACATATAGAGAGATCTTGAGGGGAGGTTACTATTATAGCTGGATGAATTTATCAAGGAGAGATTTTATTGTGTATCCTTATAAAAATTTCTCCCTTTCTGCAACACTTCATATACAACATATATCTCTATTGATTCAATAAAAAATAAATTTAATCACTTACAAAAATTTATGCCTGCAAGGAGTTGGTGCTATCAGCTTTTAGATTGATCGCAGTTCAGGTTTGCAAAACCTAATATATCATTTTCTTTTTCGTTTCTAATACTCCTATATTCCAACACCATTTCAAAGTTTTAAACCACTTTAACGCTCACGAAAATCAAGCCGTACTTCTTCCACAAAACTCCTAACTCTTGCTGCCCACCAGTTGTGACTTGCCAACAAAATAAATTTATCACTTATTTCCCACACATCTAATTATTCTAGAACTACTTGTACTAACTACCACCTCGAACTTCTAATCAAGAGACTCATCCTTCTCCAACAAAGAAAATCCATACATATACTTCAAAAAAGTCATATATAGAAAAGTTTGTCAAGAAAAGTAAAGTAGTTAATCATTTTGCTTGGCCTTTCACCAATCATAAAACTATGAACACCATTCCAACAACTCCCAAAATCTCCTAAATACAAACCTATCAGGACATAATGTTTATGCTACCTTCTTCACATGTTCCATCACACTCCTAGGTTGTACACTTCATTGTTCCATTTTTCAAGATCAAAGGAGGTGGCTGACCATTATTAAGCTGAGGTTTGGAGAGTATAATCCCATAAAAAGAACAAATGAATAAATCAACTATGGTTCCCTGAAATTCTTCAACCAAGCATGAATTTGCAGAGCATACAAGGCAATTACGGTGGCTAATTTATTACTAGTTGCAATGTAATTCAAAAGATTGGCCTCACATTTGCTACTAAGCTTTTCAGTGCTGCACATGGATGCATATAGTATGATAGATATCTCTTACAAGTACATAAAGTCGTCAAAGATAGCAGAGGTTTACAAGATCATACATGCCTGAATGTTTAGCTATGACAGCATTCCAAGTCTATGGGCTTGAGGTCAAGATGAGTTTTGGGATTTAGTAACCGATAGGCAGTAAGCAATTGGCATTCACATTATACAATTTACACGAAGTGTTACAGCTACCAATATGCAGGCATCCGTACAAAGAAAGCATGTCCCCTGAGGAAGAAGTTTTATTAGGAAACCCATCTTAGATAAAGATAAGTGAGGCAAGTTGATTTTAAAAGTAGTTAATTCAGAGATTTTAATTCATTATCATCAACTTTATGGAATGGTAGATCTATCATTGCAGGCTCAAGCTTTCATTTCTTTGGATATTTAACCTATAGTTTCATCCAAGAAGGAAGCTTAACCCACAAAAATAATCTTGCGTGATTCTTTTGAGTTGGGCATGCAGTGATCTAGTGACCTATCCGATGCAAGTGTTAAACCATTCTAGGAGTTGTAGATGCTTCTCCAAAAATCTGGAGTATGAAAAATAATTTATTTCTTATGGGATTCTTGGTCATTTAAATGTGTTATTGTTTATTTCTTATGGCATTCTTGGTCATTTAGTTATGAGTTGTAGATATCCACACCAAGGAAGAATCTTTAAATTCTATCACTACCAGCAAAGAGCCAGATTTCTCTTAATAAGCACTTTCCACTTTGGCACCTATAGGGGTTTTAGGAAGTTGCTCAGGATGCATCGCCTAATTTGTGAGAAGTCGTTCTTCGATGGCATAAAAATATGCTCAAGTTTATCTTCATGTGCAATGGGTATTTGGTTGTCTGGATGCTCACCTTACTTTCGTTAGAAGGTGTACCCCACACTTATGCAATAGTCATAAGCATCTTCAAATTTAAACTGGCACCAGGTACGTCTTCTATTCTTTGGTCCACATCTTATCATAAACTAAAAAGTTCAATCACATATAGCTGTTTTGCTAGATGGCATGATAAAGATTGATCTGGTTGACAACAACAATTATCGTTATAGATACATGATATTTTAAAAATGATAGCATTTGAGGGTTGCTGAGCACTTTATCACCTCATCAAAAAATGGTTTTGGAAGGACACCATCCAAAAAGAGACTGCCAAATTGGGTTGTCTGTAGAGATTTCATGCGACAGACAACCTTTTAATCCTAGTATAGCAAACAAACTAGAATAGATCCCTGTCATGATCCAAATATGTGTCTTTCATGGTGTGGATGCACCTATTAATATTTAGCAATATGCTTAAATTTTATTTGGCCCTATTGAAAAAAGCTATGGGAGACGGCAACATGAATTGGATGTGATTCTGTTGAGTGTGTTCCACTGCAAGTATGTGTGTGTGAGAGAGAGAGAGAGAGTGTGTATTAGGAGCAATTTTTAAAACCAGACCAATCATCAAATCGAAAAAAGTAAAGGTTCAAAGTTCATTGGTTGGACCGGAGTTGAACCGAATAACATAATAAATATAAAAATTAATTAAATATAACATAAATAATGTAATAATGATGTAATAATCTAAATATAAAAAATAAATATATAATAGACGACTAAATTACATGTCCTCTGATAAAAATTAAAGTCCACAACTTAAAAAATTTTACTGAAAAAGTATGGCATTCTTAAACCTCAAAATGAAAAAAGAGCATATTTGAACTGTTCGTATTCATTGATGAACTAATGCAAGTCTACATTTGAGGTCATTCAATAACTGCATAGGATAAAAGAGCAAAAAGGAAGACAGTACCGTAGCAAGAAAACAACTTTAGATCTCAATAATAATAACACAAACCCTGATTTATCCATACCAAGTTTTTATTCATAGGAAATATATTTTAAAATGGAAGGCAATACCCCACAATCACCTACAACAATCTGATCATGAGTGGATCATGAGTGCAATACCAACGAAACCAACCATTATACACAACAATCAATCATCCATGGCTGGTTCAAAATTTACATTAGACAGCTCCTTATCAACGAAGAAAAAAAAACAGAAAGAGAAAAGGTGTTGGTGAATTACTGGCGAATGTTCGTATAACACCACCAAAAGAAAAAAACGAAGAATAAATTAAAAATACTAACATGTAGAAGCCGAGTGGCAACGAACATGATGAATGACCGAAATGGCGGCAAACGATGGTGAACTGCAAGTCAAACTCAAGCAGGGAAGAAGGAAGCGAAAGAGTTGAGATTTTCTCTTGGGAGCAAATGTTAGGGATTTAGATTTACGAAATCTACTCATTTACTGCTTATCCCTTGTTAAGATTGTGGCCCTTGGACCTCGCCTCACACAACCGGGCGGTTCTCGCAAACCATAATTGGTTCATGATTGGACAGTCGAACTGTCGTTTCTCGCGGTCCCTAGCGATCTGAGTATAGAAAAGGTTATGTGATTCAAACTTGGATCAGCCACTGGTTCACAGTCAAACCAGCGGGTCCGGTTTGATTTTTAAAACATTGATTAGGCCCTCAAGGATAAAAAACATGCCAAGGGAATCAAAGGCCTAACACTAGCAAAGGCAATGTCATCATTACTTTTCTTTAATTCATTACAGTTAGTTTTTTTGTCTATTACACTAATTTATTACCTTTTTTTTTTACTGTTACAAGTGATTAATTGTTAAACCAAAAATGAGAGAGGAATCTATGCCTACTTTGATTAAAGTGCAAGCTAAGGAGTCTACATCATGTTTAACTAAAATAACTTCACATATAAGTTGGTGAATCCAACCAAAATAAGCAAAGCCTCCCCACACTTTCATGAATCAAAATGCTAGTTTCATATCTGATTGTTTTTACTCTCACAAGAGATGCTTTTTGAAACATTTAGTTAGGAGAGCAATATCAACAGTGTATATACCAGATTATAATATCCCATATATGAGTGTCATTGTGGGCATGGCCATCCCCATGAAATCAATATCATTCTTTTAGGCAGGACAACAAGCTGAAAAAAGGGAGATACCATTTAATGATATGCCAAGAGTGCCCACGTACACCCCAATAGTTCACGTGCTAATTGCAGTGCATGAATTCTCTTCCCGAACCAATACTTAGACATGTGATAGATTTACAAGGGTATATTTTATTACCTCTTTTTTTCAAGTCCTGCATAAGAAATCTTCAGATGTTGGAATGAAGTATATAATTTTTATGGAATTTTATTTCAAAGCTAGATCTTAGGAGCCTAAATAGTTGGGAGTGGTTCACATCTAAGGTCAATGCAACCCTAGATGTCCAAGCACATTTTGGCTTGAAAGAGTCAGACCTCAAATACTAGGCAACAATATGGAATTTTAGGTTCAACGGCTCAAATCCCATAATATTTTTGAAAGCATAATATCATTAATAGATCTACAAGAAAGAGTCAAACTCCACCACATGCTTGTTACTAGATCATGAGGATTACTTGCTATAGATCGACTATCATTATTAAGATGGTGGCTACATAGCCAAAATGAAGGGTAGTAGGCTTGATGTCATGCAAATCAAACCTCCAATTTGAACGGGAAAGGAGAAATCTAAGCAATAAGAAGAGAAATAACAAAACGAAGCTCATAACCAAAATATAAAAGGAGACTAATGTTGTATTAGCTCAAACGAAAGAGTTGCACATCATTGAGAGTGAGTATGGGATGTTGACTGAGATCATGGCCCAACTATAAAGCTTGCAGGCTCACCTTCCAAAAAAAAGTCTTACACACTCTGCCATCAATATGTTTATACATTTTTTTTTCGATGAACAACAATCACATTTCCTATATTTTCTCTTTTCAAAAACTTATGGAAATTTGAGATGATTTTAGGGGCCTCATGACTCGAACATCTAAGCATATTGAATCTACTAAGATGGGCATTTTCTATAAGATAGACTTAATGATAATAAGTTTGATTCGTCAACAAGTATTGAATGAACCAAATTCAAAGATTATTTCACCTAATGTCTTTTTCCTTAATGAACTTGGAAAGCATAATATCATTAATAGATCTAAAGCTAGCTAGCAAACCATTGTTGCAAGGAGAATCTACAGGAATAGCACTTATAGTAAAACAATCTACCATGACTTGCCCTTTCATTACCTTCCAAAAAGTACCTAAGGTATCAAATTGTAAGAGTAAGTGAGCCCATTTGGTCGAGCAATTGATCAAAATCAGTCCTATTAGATTCTACTTTCTCCCTGAATCACACCCAAACCTTATTGATTCAAAGAAAATGTGAAGAACAAAAAAAGAGATGTAGTAAAGAGAATACCCACTAAAAAATACTCGAGGAAATTAAGTGATAGAGTGAGAACAGAAAAAAATTAATTTATTGCCTCTTCCTAGGATATCCTATTTATAGCCAGGAATCTAGATTCTCAAGCGACACAGTTAAGACTTTAGAATGAGCAATACATATAGAAAAAATATAACAAAAGATACAAGTCTTGTAGTTTTTATACAGATCCTGACTCAAACAATAAGTCAGTTAGCGGAGCAATTATAAGGTGTCTCAACAGTATGGGGGCAAGTAGCCTATAGTCATATGCAGAGCTATAATAGGGTGTTTGTACAATTTAGGGCAAGTAGTTTAGTCATATGCGGCCAACCTGGTCGGTTGTTACATTGAGTCCAGTGCAACTGGAAGTGAAGTTATCCTCTAACCTTTAGGAGATGTTTTTTACTAAACATTTATTTCCACCTTGTTGCTAGTAGATTGACATCTTAAATTTGGTTGTTCGAGTTTTCTTGGATCTCAGCGGCGTGATTACATTGAACTTGATCTAACAAGCTTTTACTGGACCTAACTGTCAAATTTGTTTCCTAGCCACCTTTTTGGGCATGTCCGACCTATGAGGTATGTAGGTCTGGTCATCAGAAATGTTATCAGATAGATCTTTGATATTAGTGAGATTTGTAAGAAACCATATAGTAGCAATTTTTTTTCAAAACAAAAATCAACATTAGACAATGTTTCTCAATAAAAATATAACCAACTTTTGCTCCTATCAACCTCTAACAGATGTGGTAAAAGGCATATTCCCTCTCATTGATTATGCTAAGACAATAATAATTTAAGGGATTCTTCTAAGGTTTTTGTGTATAGATAAATGGCTTAACAGGAATTGCCATTGCAAGAGTTGGCAAACTCAGTAGGTATAATTTAATTTTGTCAAAATCCCCTTGGCATTCTTTATCTCGTTTTAAAGTAGAATTCCTCTTCATCAACTTTTTCAATGGTTACCATCCCTCTCATAAATATGATATAAGCTATTGGAGTAAGAAAGTTGTTCTTGCAATGAACAAAGTTAGCAAAGGCTTCTTAGGGAGAGCATCCTTACACTAGTTTGGATTATGGTAGGATCAATTACGATTCATAAAGGAGCATAACAAATACTATAAACTTTTCATAATATATCCCAAAAGCACACTTAAGGGTGTTCATTTTAAGATTGTATTTTCTAATCCTTTCAAAAGCAATCCACATATCACCAGGATACTCCATACAAACCTTGTTTTTAATAATGATATCAACAAAATAGCATCACACTTTTTGGTAAATCAAATCATCAACAATATTTGATAGCCCTTTGATATGTAGCCCTTACATTTTTCAAGCTCACTAGTGTCTATAAAGATGTATCTGTTTCATCTTTTAAAGCCATTTAAATTTTATTATAGCCTGATGATTTATTCAAGAATGAGAACATGCTATCATCATCATCATTAGTATCATTATAAGTAGCAAAAGAAATTTAAATGACTTATAGTGCATCCTAATAAAACTCGTTTCTCAATTTTATGAAAATGAATTTGAAATAGGAACTCACATTTCAAGAACATGCATCCAGAGAACTAGCCTCAACTACAACTTCATTACTTCAAAACTATAAGATGGAATCCCCTCTTTCTCAGTCTCTTCCCTTCCCTGCAAATCCTCCTTTCATACACTAAAGTTTAATCCATCATCATTGATTGGCTACAGCCCAAACACAAAAGCCATCAAACTTCATATAGCTTCTGCTGATTGAGATATTAAGCACCTCCCGCAATCTTTCTATATGTCCCTGCATCTCACTATCTATAGCCATGCCCTTACCTCATTCTCTCTTTATCCACTGTTTTGGATAAAAATAGAACCACGCTTAACTGATGCGATCACAAGCTTATTCAAGCACTAGTGAACGGAGCTTACAAATACAATGCAGCTCAAGACCTAATGGTTCTGTAGTTAGCTCCAGCTCAACCCTTCTACACCCATAAAAATAACTAATTACAGTAGAGAAATCAGCTTAAAAATACAAAGTAAATGAAGTGCAATATAATCTTCTATTCAAAAAGAAAATTGTAGAACCAAGAGAAACATGATCGTCTAACTATATTGGTTGATGGTAGTGATTATTCCAGCAGTTAACAACAGTGGTGCTATTAATCGTAGAAATGTTGGTAGTGACAGTGGTAGAAGTGCAGGTGGGGAATATAACTGTAGGTGGTGCTGGTGGAGATGTAATAGAAGTTGCAGTAATCACGGCACACAAGCGCTCAAGGTAAGGCTCACTAGTACCCTTGAATAATGACCTCTGTGGCAGCTGCTACATACTCGAAGTTTCAAATTGACAGCCATAATTCATGGTGAGAGCCACGTGTGTATAAAGAAAAATGTTCATCTGGAAAGAAATAACCGAGCTTTTAAGGAGACGTTTTTAAAAGATTAAAAAGCTAATACTCTAGGTAAATTAACCTTGACTTCTATGCCTCGTTCCAACACACCAGCATGCAACCGACCGATAGCTATTTTCCCTTTGTGCTCATCATACTCAATATTCGTTACCTGCATTTCATTTGTAGACATTAGCTTCAACTTCAGCATAAGAAAAAGCAGTGGATAAATAAGAGGAGAGACAACTTCATTTAATCAACTATGCTGATGATGCCAGTAAAACAATCTCTGAAAAACAGCTTCATGTTATCAACTTCATTTTCTATAAAACTCCCGTAGTTCGCAAAAGGGTAATATTCTAAAACTCTGCATATAAAGACAATTTTTTTCCCTTTTTTAATAAGGGCAGTAGTACAGACGCTATACTTGAAACCCTGACAGTATTACAGAATTATCTGGATTTTTCAGCTATGAAACGTGGTATTAGGTCATGCCAGACTTTCACAGCATTGATACTATCAAGCGTTGGCCTACCTATAATAAAACAATGACAGACAGGTGGACGTAGTTTAATGAAAGATTGATTTAAAATGTCTCAAATCCAACGCTCATCTCACCAAATGGATAGCTTCAATTGTCTTGTGATTTCAAGTTGGGTTCAACCTATTTTCCACAACAAATAGGAAGTTTAGAAGCATCGTATAATGCGACTTATGAAAAAATAAAAATAAGAAGCTGAACAGGGTACACCGTAATAGTTAATAAAAAGAACAATTAGGAAGTTAAAGAAAATTTTTGTGATGTGGCTTATGAAAAAATAAAAATAAACAGCTGAATAATGCATATTATAATAGTTAACAAAAAGAGCATAAGAAAATATGGAAGGTAAATAAAAGCATGAAAATTTAGGATACCAAATAAATAGAAGGATGAAGTTTATTGAAATTGAATACATGGAAGAGAAACAAAAAAGCATTACTCACAAGCATCTGCAGTGCTCCATCCTTATTAATGGTAGGCGCTGGTATACATCTAAGAATAGCCTCAAAAAGTGGTCCAAGATCATCAGCTAAATTGTCCGGAGATAGTCCAGCCTTACCATTTATGCCGCTTGCATAAATCACTTGAAAGTCACACTGCAAACATCATTGATAAAATTTGAGAATAAAGATCAAATTCAGTTTCTTTATTACCATTTTCTGACAAAGAAAATATACATGAAGAGGGAAGAATCATTCACAAAACCTGTTCGTCTGTTGCATTTAATTCAATAAAAAGCTCAAATGTTGAGTTGATAACAAAGTCCGGACGTGCTGAAGGCCTATCAATTTTATTAAGCACCACCACAACTGAATGTCCATATTCCAAAGCTTTCTTCAAAACAAACCGTGTTTGTGGCATTGGCCCCTCTACAGAATCTACCTACACGGTACAATTCATAAATTAGCTTACAAGAACATCGTTTCAAAAAACCAGTTAAAGAAATGTAAATGAAATGGACCACCAAAACAACATTCCAAAGAGCCCAAATCTAAACTACAAGGAATCATTTTAACTAATGCTGTCTATGCCAACAGAAAAGCACATAGCTACTAAGTTTAAATATATAAAGAATACTATTGTAGCAATTTTGGGTATTGCGCTTAGCAATTTTGGGTGCTGCGCCTAACAAAACAAAAATAAGTGATTCTATTGTTAACAAAAGCAAGTTGCAACACAAGAATCATTTCAAATTCAACATTTCACAGTCTAATCATTCAATTAACACTAAAAAATAACCTGGCGCCATCCACCTCGTGCTCCATTGAGTCGACACCGACACCGTGCCCGCTAAATAATTTGAAGACTTATGCTAGGTGCAAGACTAAAGGAGCAATACAATCGCGATTCAAGCTAACTAGGAAGCCAACGAATGGATCACAAATTCACAGTGTATAGGTTCCATCAAGCAGTGTGGCCCCATGACCAAACTCACGATACAATCGCGATTCGAGCTAGCTGGAAAGCCAACACGGGTCGCGCCATAAAGGAGTTTCGTCGCCTTTGTGACCGAACATCGCAATACAGTCCATGTTCGAGTAAGTAGGAAAGCCAACGACAGGATCTAATCGTACAGTAGTTCCACCATAGTGGTCGATAACTGTCTTAGGAGTAATGGCAGTCAAGAAAGTGGATGCTTCGGAGAAGAAATTAAAGAAAGAAGTGAGCCAAATCAGATATGGAATAGTGAAGCGTTTCTTATCCATTGATCAGTCGTTTTTGTCCATGAAGAGGGGATTCATGCTTTTGGAAGCAATGATGAAAAAAAACACGAAGTTTCACACAAACTCATCGCCGCCTGCTATGGAATCGAACCAAGGAATCGGGAGCGAAGTGGCATTTTGAAGAAATAGCGCTACATCTAGATTCCTGAAATGAGTGACGGCATGCAGAACAAGACAACTTACAATTTGAGGCTGGAGTAGATCGGTTTGAAGGATTTCGATCTAGAACAGAGAATCATGGTAGATGGGACCCCGATTGAGGGCTGCATCCAACTGTGCCTGTGCTTTTTGCTGCAGTAGCTTTCCAGGTGAAAGGCAATTTAGGAGCCTATGGGGAAGGGCGACATGACTATGGGGCGAGCCAAACTTATAGAAAGAAGGAAATCAATATAGGTCGAGGAAGGGAATACAACCCCTGTTTTATGGGTGGAACGAAATTCAGTCAAGGAAATTGAGAAGGAAACTCATGCAAGAGAAAGTTAAAGATGCCAATCATTGAAGGAGAGGATGCCTATGAATGAGTTTATTGCATTGAGAGATAATTTGTTATTAATAAGCTAATTGAGGAAAAGAATTTGATGGTGGCGGCTCTGTGTATGGAAAAAAAGGCTCTAGCATGGTATCATGGAGAGAACAACATCAGCCAATCAGAACATGGGAAGAATTCAAAGTATGATTATTAGAGAGTTTAGACCCACACAAAAAGGGAATTTACAAGAGCAGTTTCTTGCATTGGTCTAGGAAGGGTCCATTATGAATTATAGGGAGCAATTTGAGATGTTATTTGGTCGTTTGAGAGGAATATCAAATTTAGTGTTGAAAGAAAACTTTATGAAGGGGTTGAAGCCAGAGATTCGAGCAGCACTTCGTCTGTTGAGATGCGAGGATTGAGGAAACTATGAAATTAGCACAGTTCGTTAAAGATAACAAAACAATGGAATGGACTAATAAGAGCAATACAGGTGAAGTGTCATACCAAAATGCTACAACCATGATGATACCAAAAACTCAAATAGGGGGGTTCTAGAGGGAGCTATACGGGATAAGAATAATGGGCCACGACAGAGGGCGACATTTAAATGTCTTAAGAGATAAAGGTTCAAGAGAAACCAGCAAAGGGATTATATTTTTCGTGTGATGAGAAGTTTGCCCCAGTATACCATTGCAAGGATCGGATCTTATAGGTTCTCACAGTGTTACGAGAAGAAGGCGGGGGATGAAGAAATAGAACTTGTGGTGGAGGAGGAGGAACACCCTCACTTCAATATGGCAAAAGTCCTATTGTACTTGTTGGTCGATCTACACTATGAAACTTTGGGGACAGATCCGAGAGCAAGACATTGTGGTGTTAGTAGATAGTGTGGTCTCTTGTAACTTCATCTCTACTCAAGTAGTCGAGCAATTGTAGCTTGAGATGATTGACACAGGAAGTTTTGGAGTCATGATGGGTAGAGGACAGATGGAGAAGAGCAGCAGAGTATGTAAATGAGATTTTAACCCTGCAAGTTATTCAGGTGATGGAGAATTTTCTTCCCTTGGATTTAGGGAGCACTGATGTGATATTGAGTATGAAATAGTTGTGGTTATTACGAGAGACTGAGATGAAATAGAAACTCCTAACAATGAAGTTTCAGGAGATAGATAGGTTGGTGGTGCTTCACAGTGGCCCTAGTTTGTGCAATACCTTAGTGACACTCAAGGACATGGTTAGGGCAATACAAGAAGAAGGGTTGGGGTTCTTGATCAAGTTGCGTAGCATTGAAGAAACACGTGATACAAAGTTGACAGAGATTCTAGCACCGATCCAAAAGTCCTAATAATAATTTGCACAAATTTTATCAGTTGCTATGTGGATTGTCGACTCAAAGAGAATAAGAGCATGCAATAAATAACCTTGCGATCGGGGGTTTCTCCCATCAGTGAACGCCCATACTATTATCCCAATGCATGGAAAAACGAAATCAAGACATTGATCAGATATATGTTGGAGGTTGGGATCATACATCTTAGTGTGAGCTCCTTCTCTAGCAGAGTCTTGTTAGTGAAGGATAAATATGGGAGTTGACATTTCTATGTTGATTATGGAGCAGTGAATAAAGAAACAGTACCAGACAAATTTCCCATCCTAATGATCAATGAGCTACTGAACGAATTATGTGGGGATGTGATATTCTCCAAGATTGACTTAAATTCAAAAGACTATCAGAATTGGATGCGGCCAACTAATGTGCGCAATACTATATTTCGAACTCATGGGGTCACTATGAATTTCTAGTTATGTCATTCGGACTCACCAACGCACCTGCTACATTTCAATCAATGATGAACAAGTTGTTTTAGCTTGTCCTCCGGAAGTTTGTGTAGATATTTTTTTACATCCTATAGCGTACACCCATTCTTTAGAAGACCGCATCAATCATTTGAAAGTGTTAACAATACTCGGGGAGAACCAGCTTTACGCTAACGTAAAGAAGTGTTTGTTTGCCCAAGCGAATGTGGAGTATTTAGGACATATGGTGTCGGTTATAAAGGTATCGAATGTGGTGTCTATGTTGAATTGGGAACTACCTAACATCTTAAAGGGGTTGAGAGAATTTTTGGAACTTATAGAATACTACTGAAAATTTGTGAAGGGTTGCAATTGGATTGTGTGGTTGTTGGCAGAGCAATTGAATAAGGATAAATTACAATGGTGGGGAGCGGCAACCCGGGCTTTTGAGAAGTTAAGGTCATAACGAGTGTACAAATACTAGTGTTACCTGATTTCAACCAACCATTAATCGTAAAAATAGAAGCTTTGGGCTATGGATCAAGCGCAATCCTCAGGCAGTGTCATTGACGCATCGCTTAATTCAATTAAGTGTTGACGGTGATAGCCAGACTCATATCAGTTAATGAGTGGAAGATTACAGTAATTGTGCTTGTCATTCAGAAATGGAAAATTTATTTGGGGATGACGCTTTACAGTATGCATGGATCAGCGCAACCTTAATTTTTTGTTAGAACATATGGTGACTAAGGAACATGAGAGGTGGCTATCTAAGCTACTTGGATATGACTTTGAGATTCATAATTGCCCGAGATTAGAGAATAAGGTCATTGATGCCTTATCACGACAGACAGAGGAACCTCAATTATTGACATTCTCAATTTCTTTGGTTTTAGAATGGGAGATCCTGAGGCAAGAAAATGAGACATAAGATGAATTGAGCTAGATCCGATTGGCTTTAGCAAACGGCGAGAGAATCTATCCTGATTATTCACAAAAAGACCAACGTTTACTTTACCAGGGATTTTATGTATTACCTCGAAATTCAAGATAAAAATCAAAATTATTACAGGAGTTTCATTGCAGCACAATCAAGGGGCGCTCCGACTTGCTCAAAAGAGCATCGGAGGATAGCAACATAATTGTATTGGGTAGGAATGAGAGGATGTGGAGGACATGATCTCAAGTTGTGTGCCAACAGCACAAGTGCATGGTGTTAACGGCTTGTGGGTTGCTACTGCCTCTAGCGTTACCAGAGAAAGTATAGGAGGAGATGACGATAGATTTCATTGAAGGCTTACGTCAGTCAGAATAACTTGCAGTCAACTTGCTGGTGGTGGACTGGTTGTGCAAATACGCTCACTTTGCACCTCCACATCATCCCTGCACTGTTGTTTCTATCACAGCTAATTTTATACGAGAGGTTTTTTGTTTGCATGGGATTCAAAAATGGATAGTGTCAGATCGAGAGAAAGTTTTCTTGAGTCATTTCTAGAGAGAGTTCCTCAGAATACAAGAAAGTGTATTGAATAAAAGTACAACAAACTACCCACAGACTAATTTACAGTCCAAAGTTAATCGGGACATGGAGACCTATTTATATTCTTTTGCATCTGATACACCCAAACAGTGGGATAAATGGCTATCCTACGTAGAGTACTAGTACAACATATCATATCATACAACTTCTCAAACCACTCCTTTTAAAATACTGCATGGATGTGATCCTTCTCATTTGGTACATTATGGACATAATACTAAGTCGGTGTCTCTAGTGAATCAAAAATTTAAAAAGTGGGACAAGATGTTGACGAAATTGAAGAGATATTTATTTAAAAAACAAAAACTTATGAAGAAACAAGCTGATAGACATCAAATGGATGTGTGGTTTATGATAGAGATAGGATGTATCTAAAACTTCAACCTATCAACATAAGACAATGGCCAGCAGCAGAAATGAGAAACTCTTCCCACGCTATTTTAGTCCTTGTGAGATCATTGTGTGCAATGAAGCGGTGGACTATCATGTAAAATTGTCGTCTTTATCGAAACTCGATCCAGTGTTCCACGTATCACAGTTGAGACGTGTTATTGGTGATAATGTGTCTCTCTTCTTCATTTACCTCTACTGTGATAAAAGATATGAAAGTTCTCTTGTAGTCACACTTAAGTTAAAAGGGGTGCGTCAAAAATCAAAAGGTGGGAAATAAGTGCTAATGAAATGGAAAGAATTGTTAAATTATGATGCCACGTGGAAGTATTACGAATTGATCCAGCAGCAGTTTTCTCTCTTCCACCTTAAGGACGATATCTTTTTGCGAAGGGAGTAATGTTAAATCGGAGCCTACGACACCGTCCATGTTCTACGCTATTTTGGTCCTTATGAGATTATTGGGAGCATTGGGGTTTTGGGTTATCGTTTAAAATTGCCCTCTTCGTCGAAACTTCATCCAATGTTTCACGTATCACAATTGATACGTATTATTGGTGATAATGTGTCATCTTCTTCAATTCCCTCAACTTTGACGAACGATATGAAAGTTCACTTGGAGCCATTTGAGTTAAAAAGGGTGCATCAAGAATCTACAGGTGGGAAAGAAGTGTTGATTAAATGTAAAGAATTGTCAGATTATGACACCACGTGGGAACAATACGACTTGGTACAACAACAACTTCCTCTCTTGCACCTTCAGAACAAGATATCTTATTGGGAGGAGAGAAATATTAGACCGATGCTTACAACGTCATCCGCCTCATGCTCTACTGAGTCGATACCAAACCCGCCAAATAATTTGAAAACTTAAGTTAGATGCAAGACTACAAGGGTCATTTAGTTATTTGTTAGTTATTATTGGGTACAAATAGTGCTTAATATGTTTAAGGTTAGGTTATGTGGGTGATTGTTGTCTTTAATCTACAGTTAGTGTTTGGAAGAGATTGTCTACCCTTGTGCTAATTTTTGTGGATGTTGTCTCTTTTTATCATAATCGCCACCCCTATCATCCTCATCAAGGGTGGCTTCTTTCACTATCATTTCTGCTAGAAGATAAAATAAAAGGCAAAAGACTAATGGAGCAAATATAAATCTTTCACTGTCACTCATGCAGCAGGTGTTCTAACAAAACAACGACAGTAGAAAATTAATGAGCAAGTAAAAATAACATAAGGCACATAAATATTCAACAAAATGAATTATTAGAATAAGCCATTGTCTGCAAGCATAAATATCCATTCATTTTACACAAGAAAAAATATCGTCTAGTCAATACCACAAGAAGAACTCCTTCAACCATGTTGAGAACACGCTCAACCTCCCCACCAAAATCAGAATGACCCGGAGTATCAATGATATTTATCTTCGTGCTCTTGTAGGTTATTGAGGTGTTCTTGCTGAGAATTGTAATTCCTCTTTCCTGAGTCCATTATCCTCTCCTGCACAAACTGGTTGTCCCGAAAGACCTGAAAAAAAACAATCAATGATATATACTTTGATTACTTGTTTGTTAGGGTGGGTTTGCTGATTGATTAAGCCTCTTTCTATCTTATATGATGAAATTTCTAAGGATATACACTATTGGTCAAGTTTCTAACAATGAAAAAATGCTTCCAGTTAATTGACCATCAGGTTCAAGGACAATACTTTTTCCATGCACAAAACTTAAAATAAAAGTCAATGAAAACTGAAGAGAGAAGTAACAAGTATAATAAAATTACAAATGTTCTCAAGCACCAGAACAAGCAAACGAAAAAAAGCCAAAATAAACCTAGAGAAAAATTTCAAGCAGTTGAGAGGAAATCCACTAAGAATCGCCGAGGTTAAAAGATGTAATATGCTGTAACACAGGAATAGCTCAAATGGAGTACATCGTAGCATATATTTCCTTTTTGTTCCATCCTTTTAGCATTAAAAAAACAAATTAAGAATATTAAACAATAGCTTCAGTTTATAAACCATAAATGTATAAAATGTTCCTTGGTTGCAAGCCACATGACAAAAAAAAGAGCAATCATAATTATAACAGAAGTATTAACAATACTACAAACGTATGAAACTATGCCAATATAAGCTTATCAAAAGTTTATTAGTTCAAACAGGATCTTCGTGTTGACCCAATCATGTTGATGTAACTTAGTCAAAAAAAAGGCTTGAGAGTGTAAATTTAGTCAAATTGCATGAGATTACAAGACATGAGAAGGGTTTAAGTTCATGGAAGCTTCATGATTCAAAACTACATAGCTACATAAAAGATTTTTTTAACATACCTTTGCTTGCTTCAGCATGGCATCAACTAAAGTTGTCTTTCCATGATCGACATGAGCAACAATAGCTATGTTCCTCACATCCCTTCGTGTTGTCAACTTCTTTCCTGCTGCATTTATAGATTAAATTATCAAAACAAAAAAAGAACACCGTTCATTGCTAGATTTTTGTAGTTATTTAAAGGTTTCTTTGGTATAAGATCCAGTTTTGTGAAACTTTTTTCTGCATTCATGCTGGTTTGCAAATGTAGAAAAGCAATTTCATGTCTTAAGAAAATCAGTAAACAACTCAACTAAGGCTGTCACTTAAAATGTAAATTCCATGTATTAAAAAAACCAGCAACTCAAGCTATTATTTAAGACAGCAATCAACACATTCATATTATGTTTAACTCACTTCTGTATTTCCAAACGGCAATTCAAAAACTGAAGCATTTAACAAACAATATAAACACTACGCACTCCTCCAATTTGGAATATCGTGTCTAAATTACCATATGTGCTATTTATAGTAAATTTCTGCACTATTTATTGTTATGACATTTCCTTATTATGGAAAATGTTTTCCATTATTGTATTTTCTATTATTAAACTAATTCAATAAAAATGTAATCCTTTAAATCATCTCCCTTCTAACATGGTATTAGAGCATTCTCAATGCCTTGTCACATTGTCCTCAGCACATCTTCCTAGCATTCAATGACAAAAATCACAAACAATCAAAATGAGTTTGTTATATTATAATGCTCAAACTCCACCACGATTAAAAAAGATAAAAAAAAAGACCAAAAAAATTTCTGTGCAATCTCCATGACCACTGGCATTGTGAGCTCCCAGTGTGTTGCCACATACCATGGCCTGCAAGCATTAGATTTGTTCATTGCTACTACTTATTTATGTTCTCTAATGACAACAACACCGATGAATTTTGCCCTAACATGATCGATCTACTCATTGAAGCTATCTATCAAAACTCGCCATTAATCTATGTTGCTTGGATACAGACACGGACATGACACTGATGAGAAACAGACACAGTACACGTTCAATTATTAGAAAGGTAGAATAAGGGCACGCGTTAGATACATTATTATATAAATTATTAATATATATATATATATATAGCTCGCTAGGGTTTCGCAGTTATGGCGAACTCTGGTTTCTGATCCACTGCTCGTGCTCGATCTCCTTTTGTGTTCGTTTGTTTCGCGCATCATCATCCTCGCAGCTCTGCATCTTCTGCGGGAGTGCGTCCGTGCGGGCGTCGTGCGCGTCTCTGCGGGATCGCTGAAGTGTCCGCGAGTCTTCTGCGGCGTCCTTTGCGTCCTTTGTTTCCGCAACGTCCTCTATTATCCGTGGCGTCCTCTGTGCGAATCTTCCGCGCAGTCTTCTGCATTTCCTCTTTTCTGCGCCGCATTTCCCCAGACCTCTTCTGTCCGACTTGCAGCTCTTCTCCCTTGCTGTGACTTGCTGCGATGGAGCTTCCTCCTTCGATTGAGCCCAGTAAAACCTCTTTTGTTCACATTGTGGGTAATCCTCAGGGGGAGACGGCGGGTGGCTTCCCCCCCATGTATTAAGAGAAGTTATAAGGAGAATCGTGATAGTACAGATGACTGTCCCTTTATTAAGAATGCAAGCAGAAAGAGTAGAAAGACAGTACTATTTTTCTCTGAGTCAAAAATTTCAACCCTGACTGACAAATTCAAATTTGCTCTCATTGGGAAATTTCAGTGGGGACACCCAGCTATGGAAATCTTTAGGAAAAGTTTTGATGACCTCAAATTAGCAGGAAAGTGGAAAGTGATGCTCATGGATGGGAGAAATGTTTTGATTCAGTTAACCATGCCTGAAGACTGCACTCTTATTTTCTCCAAAAAATATTTTAACATTGTTGGTAAACCAATGAAGTTACTCAAGTGGTCTCCTGATTTTGACCCCAATCATAAACCTCCTACTGTACCGATATGGTTTAGTCTACCTGGTCTCAAGCTGCACTTTTTTCATCATCAGGTTCTCTACTTTATTGGTGTCATACTTAGGGACCCTATGAAGCTAGATTTACCCACTTTCAACCTTACCAAACCTTCTGTGGCCAGAATACTTATGGAAAGAGATATTACTTTGTTTGATGTTACTGAAGTCTGGTTGGGCACAACGCATAATGGATATTGGCAACAAATCGTCATGGAGCATAGACCTTATTATTTTCATTATAAGATGTTTGGCATACCCTTGATAAATGTCATAAAATTCACCCTAATTTGAAATCCAAGGATCAAGTGAATAAGGATGGTTTTAAGAATATATATGTACCACCTGGAGAGAAATCTACCACAGGACAAATTTTTGTGTCTGATTCTATTGCACCTGTCGTTACTGTTACTGTGAGTGATATGAACCCCATAGAAAATAATATTGATTGACTATTACCTACAAATGATAGTGTTCAGACTGATAATCAGAAGAGTCTCGTAACTCCACACTCCACTTCTTCAGGAAGTAACTTCTTCAGGAAGTACCTGGTGTAGAGGCAACACATACTTCACATATACTATAACCTATTGTGGGTACTACGGTTGGTATTCCTTCTACTTCAGTTTTACCACCTCATCAGATTAATACTTCGGATGAGGAATGACAAGTCTATTCCAGGAGGAAGAAGAAGAAGAGGCCGATTCCAACTCGAGAATATATTGGATGATACATTGGTTACTACTGGCAATGACAATCATCTTACATACTTATTAGCTTGCTCCTTCCCTAGAACTAGAGGCAGAGGTAAGACCAAATTGGGTCGCTCTCTAGCCACCTGATACTATGTATTTCGGCACAGTTAGGCTTTTTATTTTAGTATCTAATGCATATTTTGTTTTTTCTAATATATATAAATATATATAGTTAATAAACAAAATATTAAGAATAATACAAAAAAGAAAATAAAAAATTTAATAATATTAACTTTCAAAAGCTAAGTTGTCTATAAACAATTATTTAGTTTATGACATACAAAAAATAAGCATATATTATCTTGTATTACCTTATGATTTATGTCCTCTTAGTCAACTATTCATTAAGAGAAACAAAAAAATCACAAGCTTCTCTGACAACGAATTCTCATTTCTTTCCAAATCTAACATTTAAATTTTTATTTTTACATTTATGCAACCCAAATCTTTCATGTCACATCTAATATGCTACTATTTTAGTTTCAAAAAGTGAAATACACCTTTCCATATGTATGTAAGGTGGTATATATGTATAAATTGAAATTCAGGTGTCAGATAAGTAAATAAATAAAAAATTGGGTGGTAAGTACGTAAATCTTCCTTAAATTGTACATTAAAATATTTGTTTTTAATTTAATCTTAACATATTTTTAAAAAAAATTTAATTCATTAATTTATGACGACCAAATGGGTGTCCTCTTTTTCTTAATATTACTTAAATCATACACTTCTATGCAGTATTTGACATGTGTTGGGAGACGTTTCCATCAACATATCCTCCCAACGGAGTTTCCCCAACTTCATTGCTAAATGATACAAAAAGATTTAAAGTGAGATAATCTCATCTATCAGATTAATTTCATAGTTTCTTATTTATGTTGTGTGAGTGTGTATTTATTATGGGAGTGGCACTGAATTTTTCTTCATTGATATCATGGAACTATAATTTCTTTTTGTTGTTAGTGGATTGGATCATCTCTCACCTTTCTCGTGGATGTTGGCTAGATTGAAGTAGAATAACAAAAAATTTGGCATCTTCTTTGCGCTCTCTCTCTCTCTCTCTCTCTTCATGATTTTCAATCCTGGAGATGCTTCCACATTGTCTTTTGTAGCCTTTTTAAAACAAGCGGCAAGGTGAATTTTTCCAAAAAGCAATTTTACAACATTGCAAAGCTCTATAGCATTTCTCCGGGGAAGAAAAGACCAGTATTAGTCCTCTTTGGTTTCTCATTTTCTTCTTAAAAAGTATAGTTTTTATATACATATTACACTATCCATGCTATTTCTATACCCAATAACTAGTCTTATGCATGCTCCTTCATACCCTCAACTCTCAATCTATAAAATGGCATTTCCATAAAACCACAACTAAATTCATCAAAAGGGATTCAGACAGCCTCCAAAAACTGCTAAAGCCCGCGCTGCTTGTGACTTAGAGATGCCAAAAAATAAAAAAATAAAAGTATATCATTCTTTAACTTCCAAATTATATTATCACGACGCATCTTGGGTCACGAAAGTATTGTGCAAAAAGGCATATTTAGTCATGCAACCAACTGAACAACAAATCAAAATTTCAAAAAAAATGTTCAGATCCTTCCATGAATTTAGCAGATGTTAACCTTCATAACAAATTTAACTTCTTTTTGCCCACCATCATTCTCATCTATGCACCTCATCCAAGCATCTCCTGTCCCAGGATAAAATCTCAAAGCAAGGACAAGAAAATTTGTGGGACTTTTAAAAGAATTTACATTTGCTGCAGCATTCTGTATTCATTTAAAACTGGACACGGAAGATATTAACAACATCAAGTAGTAAAACTAGGAAAAGATAAAAGGAGACTAGTAGAAAATCACCAGAAACAGGCTCTGTGGTAGGAGAGATAGAACACCTAACAGCTCTTCGATTTACAGAACCTGCGGGAAATCTCAGGACTACTCGAGATGGACGAAAGCTGCTGCCGGATATAGGTTTGGAGATAGAGAAAGATGATGATGACGATGTTCTTCTTTGGTTGGCGCGAACCGGCGCCAAAACCCTACTAAAACCATGGAGGCCAGTAGCCACAGCCATTGCTCTCGCACTCTGAAGTGGAAGAAGTGGAAGGCCGGCAGTGAATGTAAGGCTAGTGGTGGATATTTATAGAATGAACATTTTTTTTTTACATTTTAATTAATTTATTGTGATGATGAACAAATTAATTAAAGTTCACCATACTGTTTGGAATAAGGTGAAAATCATATTCCCTATATTCCTTATATTTAAGGCCATTGTAGGTGTGAACATAAGAGGTTACATGTTCAACTAATTGTTTAAAAACTAACATGTATATATATATATATATATATATATAAACATAGCTTTTTAAAAGGGAGAGTTAAATACACACCCTATAATTCTTATGTATTTACATATTTAATACCTAAACTCTAATATTCGCTTATATGACACCCAAATATTTAACATTGCAACAAAACCCAAGTAGGATTAATTTTCTTAAAGTAAAATATATTTTTTATGCATATATTTTGATGACACTAAAGTTTCATATAAGTAAGTAATGAAGGTTTTGTTTTAAATTTTTAAATACATGAAAATTTTATTGTATATATAATTTTTTTTTAATCATATGGTGTCCATTTTTCAGAGTATTGAAGGTTTTGTTTTAAATTTGTAAATACATTAAAATTTTATTGTATATATAAATTTTTTTTAATCATATGGTGTCCATTTTTCAGAGTATTTTAAACATATTTTAGTGTATTAATTTTCTTAGTAAATTTTGATGCTCCAAATTTCGAAATTCATGAATGCATCCGTTACTTTAAATTTTTATATTATTATAAACATTATTAAGAAGTTTCTAAGAGTTTATTTTCTTTTGTTGGATGAGAGGATGAAATGGGCTAGAAGAGAGAAAGAGAGTGAGAAGAAATAAAAAATAGGGTTCGGGGGCCTTAGTGTCATTTTTGTTAGACAAATTAGTTAAAAATTTACTCAGATCATGATAAGCTACAAGTATATTAACTTTATTTTTTATTATTCTACTTTATATATGTTTGATGGGATAAAATGATAATAAGCATGTGTTCATTTTCAATAGAATATTTTATGGGAGGAGATAAAATAAGAGGTCTTGGATGATAGAACTAAAAAATAATAAACCTTCCCAATAATAGACACTAACACACCTTTCACATGAATTTAGATTTTTCTACTTAGGAAAAAAAGAAAAGTAGCTCCATAAAAAATAACTAAATCCTAGGAAAAGAGATAGAAAAGACAAGTTTTATAGAAATATTGATAACATTAATGACATCTCTACAAAAAGTTGAAGTGGAAGATCCCTCATACGATGGCACTCATGGCGTTATTGGCTCTTAGTTTGGTTAGTCCAAATTTATGATTTTTTAAACTTTTCGTAAAATGGATAGTTACTAAAGAGTAACTAAAAAAAATTGTATAGACAAGCTAAGATTTTTTAGAATAATATCTTGACTAAAGAAGAAATGTTAGGTAGGGCTACTCCTACTTGGGTTGAAATAAAAGAGATGTTACGAGCCAAATACTAACTTAGGCATCACGATAAGAAATTGTATTGATGTTTATTTACTGTAATCAATAAAGCCTTCTTATAACTAAATGTTTGAAAACTTTTAAAGTTTTAATAGCTAGGAATGACTAAATTGATAATGATTGATAAATAACCAATAAATTAGTCACTAGACTTAGTGTGGATATTAGGAAATAAGTTTTGCTACTTGATCCTCAAAACCTAGAAGAAGTTTTCTATTATTTTTATTGGTAAAAACCAATATAAAAGTTTTTTTTTCTTTCAAATTTAGAAAGACAAACCCTCTCCACTTCATCATTTAGGCCTGTTGTTAAGCCTACTCCACTTACTATCGCATCCAAGTTTCTTAAAAGCTCTAATTTATGGGAGTTCTAATATATAATAAAGTTATAATTTACCTTAAATTTCATAAAATAAGTTACATATGCCAAATCAATGTGAAGCATAGATTTTTTTTAAGGAATTTGAAAATCTATAAATGATGACATATCATAAGAAGTTTATAATGAAAGACCACTTTATGATGATAATCTAGAGTTAAAAACTTAAATAAATGTAATGAGATGTTTTACTTTTATTAAAAAATGAAATAAGTGACTTGAGAAGAAAGATTTTTTTAAGTATATATGTTTTTTTGTAATGAGAAAAGATATAGGTTGGTTATAAATGAAGTATAATTAATGTTGTCTCAAATGACATTATTATCAGAGTAAATCTCAAGACTAAACTAAATTATCAATATTTTCTTGTTATTTGGTTCAACCATATATCTCTACTCAACATACATAGGTGTCTTGTTCCTATAACAATTTGTAGTTATAAAGAAAAGATCTAATTTGACGCCATCCTTATTAAAATTGCTCACATTTTGTTAGGTAAACCCTAATCATACGACTTACATGTGATAATATATAGTAGAAAAAATGTATATTTTTAAACATAATAATATGTTCATTAAACTCCTAACAAAAAAATTTATGAAAAAGCACTCACTATAACACCTCATAAAGTCAACTATGATTTTGCAACCTAAACCTACTAAAAAAGTGCAATTTTAATTTAATAGTCATAGAAAACCTTTCTATTAGGGATAACTTTGATATTTTTTTTTTCAATTTCAACATCACTTTCTAATTTAGTTCATAAACTCCAAAAATGGATACCATTAGAATTAGAATCATATATGAGCTTTCTAACATATCCTCCCAACACTTACTACTTGTGAAAGAAGTAATATATGATTTTAATGAGATTCACATACATTTTTTGATCTTACCTCCCCTTTATGAGTTTAAAGATGACGCACCAGATGAACTACTTAAGGTCCATCCAACATATCATTAATTTATCCCTAAGTTCACAACTTCTTAACATTTCTCTATTATATGAGGAATCTAACTGAACAAATTAAACCAACAATATAAATGAGGACATACTTAAGGAAGGATTTATCTTGGTAATTCATATTTCTCTTGCACTTCCATAATTATTAACCACCCTAAGATAGATGCCATATTAAGAATGTATATTACTAGTAGAGTCATTAATTAAATTATGGTCAAGCATAGATTTTTGTTCCTCTACTAGATAATATGTTGGATTTTATCTTGAAAGTTAACTTCTTTTCTAAAATTGATCTAATAAACATTACCACCAAGTTAAATTTTGATCAAGATATATAAACAATTATTTTAAAACCTTTGATGGATTATTTGAGTTGTTGGCGATGCCTTTATTAAGATTTGAAATGCAATGACTACATTTCAGAGGCTAACGAAACTATCTTGAAACTCTTTATAAGAAATCTTTTCCCTTGTTTGCTAATATAACTTCTTAATTTTTAGGCCATGTGAAATAGACCATATAAAGCACCTTAAATAAGTATTTTAAATGCTTAGGAAGAACAACTATACAATAACTTAATGAAGTGTTTCCTTTTTATAAATATAAGTAGTTTACTTAGAATTCATATTTTATTCATTGAATCTAAACTAGAATCTTTCAAATTTCCAAAAAGTTAAATTGACCCTCACTTAAGGGTTTCACTAAAGTATAAGTTTCCATGGCCTAGCTACTTTTATAAGAGATTTATTGAAGACCTTATACAATTGTTGCCTCATGTTGAGTGAGAAAAACTCATACAAACTTGCATAAATATTTTTACATGTCTATGTATGTATATATATATACATATATATACATATATATATATATATATATATTATGTCTATGTATGTATATATATATATATATATATAACATCATAAATTGCATGCATTATATAAATTTTTGGTGCAAGAAAGACTCTAAAAATGAAAAATAAGAAACTGATGCATTTCATTTAGAGGATTGTAGCACCTATCTTTGCGTCTAAGCATCGTCTTGAGTATCCCAAATGAAATTTTTTAATTAAAGCTCAAAGTCTTGATGTCATCCATTCAATTTCTAAGCGTCGGACACAACACCTCATCATCATATGGACTCGCACCACAACGCCATTGCAGACATGAAAAGGGAGCAAAAGGCAAAGAGCATAAAACCTTAATGTTGAGTATTTAGAGCCTTAATGTCATCATCCAGCACCTCAGCATCATTCTCGAAAGTGTTGCAACACCATCAATGATAAGATAAATGATTAGAAGATATAGAGCACGGAGACTAAGTACTATATTTTTTATTATCATAGCACCAGACCGAGAGCCACGGTGCCATAATCACAATTTAATAGCATGACAACCTCGATAAGAATAGTTATTAAAGTTCAAATTTGAAGTCCTCGGGGGGAAGGGAGACTAACTTGCATGAACACTTAGATATGAGGTCATAATGATTGTAAGTGGGGGTCAAAGTTTGTAGAGTATGTGTAGTGTTAGTGTTGAGTGTTAGAAAGTTAGAGAAGAAAACTAAGAAACACTTCGAAAGGAGATTTTCAACCGAGCAAAGGAATTTGTGTGAAGTGTAGTGCATATGATCTTCTTTTCCCTTCTTTCTCCTTTTTTTTAAGTTATAAGAATTTGTATGTTGTTTGTGTAAATGGCTAATAACTAAGTTTTTATTATCTTAGATTTGTATTTTAATTAATGTTTAATGTTATTTCACACGATGTTTTAATTAGCACGATTTAAATTTATATTAACCTTTCTACTTGATATAAAACAAGTTGGTCATTTGGTTATAAAATATATCATAACCTAGATGTACTTAAGAAAGTTAGAAGAAAGGTTAGGTTAACTCATATTCCCATAATATAATAGGAATATTTCTACTTAAGGAGTGTAATGTTTTAAGGTTTGTGGAATCCTTGGGGTTTCTGCATGATTTAGGACCCTAAATCTTAATAGAAACCCCTTATGCTTCTTAGCAACTTAGAAAAGTCTAAGGAGTGCTTTACCCTCATTTATTAATAGCATTATGGAATTTTTGGATTACGTAGAGCCTAAGAAAAAATAATAATTCAAAGAAATCGTTTGTGAATATTTTAAAACTTAAACTCAAAGGTTTTTTTATTTGCATTAATTACTTTA